CGGTCGAGCGTTTGTCCGGCGTCTATAAGTGCGTACCACCGTTGCGGCTGTCGGTCAGTCGGTCGGTCGGCCGATGTTACGGTTCTGTTTCAGGGCGATCATATTAAGCGGAGGGCCGCAGTCGGTGAACGAAGCTGAGGCACTGAAGTACGACGACCGCATCTTCAAGGCGAACATACCGATCCTTGGCATCTGCTACGGTTTGCACGTAAGTTTGACCGATGGCAATCCCGTCGATGGGTCGATCTGTCGTTCGTTGGAAAACTAACGTGTTGTTGCTTCCGGCTGTTGTAGTTGATCAACAAACAGTTCGGCGGCACAGTCGAGCAGAAGTGCTTCCGAGAGGATGGCCAGTACGAAGTGGACTTCGACACGTCCAGTCCGTTGTTCAGGTTGGTTGCTGCGCTTAGAATTTTGTACCATTGTGGTGACTGCCCTCGCCATCTCCCCCACCCTCGCCGTTGCCTGCAAACGCTTCGTATCGGTCGTGCTGTCGAAAGCTTTATTCGACTGTTAAAGAGTTTTGTCAGCGTAGTTCTCGTTCGTCAAAGCGTTCCCTGTCTGTATTTGTCAAAATGATAAACTTAAATCTTACTAATCTGTTATGCGTTTTTAATAACACAGTTATCAGCACAAACGCTTTGATAATTAATAATTAATGTTCACCACAGTTTGAGTATTTCGCTCGTGCGTCGGTTTTCGTACGCAAAGCAACTTAAAACGCGATTATAGTTTATAAACAACGCTGTTGATTTGGTCGATTAGATGAATTCCCCACGTATAAGCCGCTACAAACGTCAGAACGTCTTCCGAAGTCACCGAACCAACCACACCTCAAAGGTAATCGGCGAGACTCTACCCGAAACATCGGTGTTGGTCAGTTTTCCGATTGACCAGATTATGCACGTTGTTTGCAAATAAACCGCGTTTTATTGTTTTCATTACGGTTTGTGAACACATTGAAATGGCAGCTTCCACTGATGCCCAAACGTTGGAATACAGTAAAAAATCGCCCCAAGATCGGTTTTGCGGTTGTGTTGAGGCGCAGAATTAAAATTTCAGTGGCTTGCATTGAAGGTGAACTTCGAAAGATATCTATTATTGACATTCCATAATTTTTCATTTATTGTCTAAAATCAAGCAACAGAGACGTGTAGTTTCAGACTGGTGAATGCTGACAACGGCTTTAAACATAGTATTTGAATTTTGATGCGAACAATTTTTCACTGCGGTATTTTCAACGAGTTTATTCCTCACAGCAACGTCGGGTACGTTGTTAACGCTTCAGATTGCAGGCAAATTTTTGTAATCGATGTGCCATCCCCCTCTTCCCAGAGAGTGGGTCCAGTACTAGGTGAACTCTGAAAATTCGTGACAGTTTTGTTGGCGACACTAAAGTCCTCTCGTCGAAAAGCTGCACCCTGCGTTTCTTCGTCGATTCCAGTGGCTGCCCCTTTAGTTATCTTAATTAACTGTTGAAATGAACTTGAAAGTTTAACGTTTTGTCGCTGGAGAAAGATCGCATAACTATATTGCTTTCCACCATGAGTTTCTGCCCAAGACCAGTAAGCGCAAATTTAAATTTGAAACTTGAAATGAATTCAAATAAAGTGAGATGTTTCAGCTGTCCTACCACCGTTTGAAAAATAACACTTTTACACAGGTGTAAAGTTCTTAATCACGAGGATCTTTACTCCGTAGAGGTAAGTTACCTAGTGTAAGAGGTAAGAGGCATGATTTACCAAATGTTTCGGATCGCACTGGATCCATCTTCAGCAACCATAACATACTTATTTTGCAGAATGTATAACTTACGCGTTACGACCTCAAAATATTTATCCAGATCCGAAAAGTTGGATAAATTGTATGTAGCGTGTCGAACTAAACCCCTTAAAGGAAAAGATAGTTTGTAACCGTTAGAATGTCGGTCATCCTTACACTTTCATGATGCTAATGTTTCTTTTATCCTTATTTTCATTAAGTTATCCGTGGGGCGCTGTTCCCCATTTCCCTGGTATCAGTCAGGAATGCCCTGTTTTCAGTGGCAGATTCGATAGTAATTATGCGACAAGCATAGTGTACAATTTGGGGCTCATTTATTAACATCCGAAGTAAGATAGGCAGCTAATCTTACTGGGTCTATAACCCGGGACCTCTTGATTCAGAGTCCGATTCTCTACCGACTCCGGCAGACTCCGACTCCGGTGAGCAACTCCGGTCCCCTTAAATTCCTTAATGACTATTGTAGTGAAACTAGACAAAACTGGAACTCCCGAACATTGGCAACTGTTCAAAGCTCGATCCATGACGATCTGAAGAAACAAGATATAGACCTAGTATTCATTTCTTCGCAAGCGTCCCGGAATCGTAAGCTTGAACTGATAGCTGAACTGCCAAGTGGTGAGTCCAGAATTTGTGACTCGGTCAATCATCTCAGGCAGTTACTAATATTGTGGAGTTAATGTGAGGAACCCCTTATATTGACATATAGTTTAAGACAATCTTTAATGATTAGATAACTCATGCCGAACACGAACCAGATTTAACGATCTGTTGCAGCCTCTTGCTCGTAGTTGCCTATAGAGAGGGTAATTTAAGCAAGCCCGGCTCCATGCTATTCAAGCATTTGCGTTGCTTTATCATCTTGCGTCATTTTTTGGATACGATAATACGTTGTTCATCACAGTTCATGCTTCAACATGCTTTCGCATAACGTTTCTTTAAAGGAACCTTTCTTCAGACATGGAAAGTTGCATACTTACAGAAGATTAGATGTATGTGTTGCATGGATGTGCCCAAAATGTGATGTTAGATGCCTAGCGAGGCGCTATATGCATACATACATATATCCCAACCAAGCCATATGAATACGTTGACGTAGTATAGCTGAATAAACATATAACCTGTTTATATGTACATTGTGTGACGTGAATATGCGCACAAAATATGGCGAGGTCTGGATATGTATACAGTGAAACCAAGCTATTAGTGGGCGTCGTATTGCAATTATGCATTCTACGGCTGCATTTGACTTATTACTTCGTCTGACGATGTGGAAAATTATGAAATGGAATGGAATACCTGTGCAAGCCGTTTGCATTTTGGAAGAATTGTATGCAGGAGCCATGTTTGATGTCCAAGGCAAAGGAGAACTATCTGAAAGGTTGGTTCCTATTTAACTTTAGGGTTATCCAGGGAGTTGTGCTTTAGTTTTTGCTATTTTACGTTGTTCTCGACTTTCTTCGAAACAGTGCTGATCTTGGCAAAGACGAAGTCCTTATTCCAGAGGAAAGGCACAGCTCAATATATCGAGCTAGATGTCTTGCCTACCTTGAGTACGCACATAATATTGTTCTGGCGATTAATACGAGGAAGTGTCTCTCTCTCCTGATGGCTTTCTTATGTGACACAGCTATGAAAGCCGAATTCTTCATTAACACCCAAAATTTATAAGGAACTCATCTAGCACAAAAAATTTTTAAGTGGAAGACTGAGGTGAAGCGCTTGATAATGTTGGCTAATTTAAGCATCTCGGCTCCGTCATCTTCAGCGATGACACCATCCCGCCAGCGTTAAATATAAGGATCGCTCTAGCCTCCAGTGCTTTCGGAAATCTGTCTAATATTTGGGCTGAAAAAGGAGTTCTCTACACAAACGTCTGTCTGTACCATGCCTCTGTCACGTCAGTAAAAGACTACAGTATTAGGTGAAAGTGTGAGCAACAGAGCCAGCGTCTCTGCTTTCCGGTTTTAGAATACGAG